CAATGTTTTTCTAATGGTTCAATGGAATCCTAGGGCTCTCAGAAGAAACTTCCAAGGCACAGAAGAGGGTTTGGGAAATAAGTAGGTCCATTATATGTATATTATATGTTAGAGCTTTGTGCAGGATTGAGATCATACAAAGAGTTCTGTTGCTTTAAAATGTTTGAAAATACTAATTTGGAAAACTGCTTCAAAGCATATTTCATTTGGTTATGCTAACACAGTTTAAGAAATATCTTTGTCAAAACAGGTTATCACACTTAGTTGCACAACTCAAGTGAAAGTTTATCTAAAAATGTTGCCTTCATTGGTTACAGGGGATATAATTCTAAGTTTTTCTGTACATTTTTAAGTCTAGAAAGACTTTGAATGGAAGAATAAAATGTTATCATTAGCTCAATAGTATGACCAAAGAACATTATCAAATTATAGATCAACACATAAAAGTGGAGAGATAATCCTTTGATATATGGAATTGTTTTAATAAAAAAAAAATGATCACTTCTGAAAGTGAGACACACTATAATTCTGTTTGCTAATTTTAACTCTTATTGTATTTATGATGTAAACAAAATTAAAAATGTATTTTATTAATACCTACTTCAAAAAAAGAACACTTCAATAAGCACCTCAGATCTGGAATATCATTTTAAAAATATTATTATTTAGGAAAATCGATGTCAAGATATATTATCTCTATTATCTTCCTAGAAAATTATGTCAATAGAGTCAAGCACTTTTTAATGCTCTCGGATTTAGAGAGTATCCAAGAATTTAAAACTGTTCAGCTTAAATTTTTATTGAACGGAAGAAATGGTTTTGTTGCAGGCCAAGTAGCCATCAAGAATTTGTTCTTTTAACCACCAGAGGGCGCCAGTGCCTGCAGCATGGTTAGTATAGGTGTAATCTAACCTTTACTTGAATTTTACATCGCCATGCTAAAAAATGCCTTTAAAAAAAATTGAAAACTTCTAAGAAATATATTTACATTCTGTAACACCTAAATAATATTGGGCTATTAGATTTAAAAATTGAGTGTACTGGCTTGTTTTGGTTAAGATTAATTTAATAGGACTTTATTAATATTTCTAAATCAGAAATAGAATGGATAACACTTTTAACTCTGAATAAAAAGAGAGTCCCTAGGCTCCTAACACTAACAATTCATTTAGCACCACATATTTAGCACCAGAATAGATATTGATAGTTCACACTTAATAAAAACTTTAATTCCAAAGAAACTTCAAAATTGTAGCAAGCATACGGTGGTTGTTATGCATTTTCAGCACCATTAACCAGTGAACTGTGTAACTTTCTAAGTTTTTGATTGACCTCTCATAAGTCAAAGTCAGACCATGACATAATTTTTAATAATCATTCTGCATGCATTTAAATATGTCTTCCCTCACACATATAACAATACAAAAAAATATATAAAACAAAGATAATATTAGACATTGACAGAAATCTAATTTCACTCTACCTAAACACTTCTGCAGGAAAAGGCTTCCCTACATCCATGTCAAGATTTGTGTCCTATGCTACTGCGGAACATAGGGAATGCTGTTATACATGGGGGAGAACACAGACCCCAGGTTAAGCATGACTTTTCCTTCCTGGACACATTCAAATTATCTGTTTAACTTATGTTAAGCAGGATATGAACACAAAACACATAACTGGCCTAAGTGTGTTTTAGATTTCCTTATGTAGATGTTATAAGTTGGTCTAACACAAGCATGTATTAATGAGAAAAAGATATATTGTTTCAGTTCAAATATTCTGAGTAAATTGTATCAGTTGAACTTTCCCTAGTGTTTGGTCAACTCTTTGCTAAAGCTGCATGGAGCTTTCAAATGAATATTTCCATGAAGGTTTCAAATGAACACCACAGCACTGCCAATTGAATTTGGTGGGGAAGCCCTAATGGACCACAGAAGTGATGCTGCTTAGACTACTGAACAGACAAAAGCATGATAACAATAAAAACTGTTTCTGCCACATCTTAAAAGCATGCTTATCCATCATAACCAGCAACATTAAGGGTGTGCCTACACAACTCAAATACAATTCTGTAAAGAAATCCATCAGTTTAACAGCGAAAATTGTAATTTTTCCAGTCTTTTAATGACATGGAAGCCAAAAAAATCTATATCGAGACAGAAATTTTTTACTTTTCTACTGAATAAAGGATGACATGAAAAATCTATACCAAAGATAAAACCAATGCTGTAGAATATGCATGCCAATTACTATTTATTTTGAATGAAACCTATTAAAATGAAAACCTCAGTAATGACTATTTAAAGCTGCTCTTATGAAATAGCTTATACCCACACCCTTTGTGCTCTGGGAATTACAGTGAGAAATAGCTATCCTAGCACCATTGTTGCATGCTGTGAAAAAATATGACACTCTGTGTTGATACTAGCAAACTTTCATTTGCTTTAGCCTGGAAAATAAAACATTTCACATGGCCACTTCATATTACTAACTTTAAAAAGTACAGATAGAATAACAAATATACCCGTTATATTTTCAGCTGAGTTGTTAAGTTATAAATAAACTTACAGTTCTAGTTGTGATTTGGAAAGGACTGTTGTGTACAAGTTATGAGTGTGTGAACCACAGTCATAATCTGATATGTTTGATGATTTATCTGGATTGTTGATGCACTCAAAGCTTTGTATTTAAGACATTTTTATTTTAATGAAACATGGAAAGGTGGGGTTCCTCTAAATTCTTGCAATTCTGGACTTTATAGTTAATTCTAAAAACCCATTCACGTAAACATTTATTACCTTACAGCCACTATATAAGAAGCTGGTATAAATACAAAGATAAGACAGAATTTCTGCCAAAAGGGAGCTCAGATAATTTTATCTCAAATAAAAGTTTCACAACATGAATGATAATTTTAATATTCATACATTTCTGTTAATATGGTAATTTTACCTTCACGTGACAAAGTATCATTATACTTTTTGAGACTTGAGAAACCAAGCTACACAAGTAAACCAGCAACAGAACTGGAACTGATAGTGGCCTTTTTTGGTTTAATAGTACTTTTACCACTTCTGTAGGGCTAGTTTAGCAAACTCAAGGAAGGAGATATTTTCTAGATAAATCAAATGAATATCCCACTAATGAGCTTTCTCTTCAACTGTCTATATATATGTTAGCTAAAAGTTGATTTGGGGCCTGATTCTTACTCTTATTTCTATTTTTCATTTTAGTCTCCAAAATTTTTAGGTTTAATAAAGTATATGTCCCCACAAAAGCAAAGTAGTACGATATGAAAACATTTGGTCAGATTCAGTTTGTAAAAGGAATCAGGCCAATTGTTTTTCATCATGTAAACCTGAACTTCAGATGATGAATGTTTCCCCCATTGGATTTAATTAACTACCTGTCACCTTTCAGTGCATCTACCCTAA